TAAACATTACTTACTTGTAATATGCAAAAAACTTAAAAACATATTTGCAACTAAAACAAAATAAACAGTAAACGGCTCATATATCTGGGATAATCCATGAAGCCTGAGACACACTGGGTCTTATTCTAACGTCTGTGATGATGTGTGGATGAGACCAGACGCAGCTGAACATCAAAGAGTCTTTTTGAGATGAAAACAAACGAACTGTAATCTGCATTTCTCTTTATGCTCTGTTCTGTTTCACCTTTTGGTTCTCTCCGTCATCGCAAGACGCAGAGACTCTTGAGAAAGAGTAATGTGGATAACAACAACAACAGGCTTGTTAGAAAACATGTTATCTGTTATGTGCATTTCTCCATCCAGAGATCTTCCACTTTGGGCTGAGAGCTGATTGGCTGAAAGCTCACAGCAGCAGTGAAAATGGAAAGTGAAACTACAGAGACCAGAGAGAGACCAGAGAGAGACCAGAGAGAGACCAGAGAGAGAGACCAGAGAGAGCCTAGAGAGAGACCAGAGAGAGACTAGAGAGAGACCAGAGAGAGAGACCAGAGAGAGACCAGAGAGAGACCAGAGAGAGACCAGAGAGAGACCAGAGAGAGAGACCAGAGAGAGACCAGAGAGAGACCAGAGAGACTAGAGAGAGACCAGAGAGAGACCAGAGAGAGACCAGAGAGAGAGACCAGAGAGAGAGACCAGAGAGAGACCAGAGAGAGACCAGAGAGACTAGAGAGAGACCAGAGAGAGACCAGAGAGAGACCAGAGAGAGACCAGAGAGAGACCAGAGAGACTAGAGAGAGACTAGAGAGAGACCAGAGAGAGACCAGAGAGAGACCAGAGAGAGAGACCAGAGAGACTAGAGAGAGACCAGAGAGACTAGAGAGAGACTAGAGAGAGACCAGAGAGAGACCAGAGAGAGACCAGAGAGAGAGACCAGAGAGACTAGAGAGAGACCAGAGAGAGACTAGAGAGAGATTAGAGAGAGACCAGAGAGAGACCAGAGAGAGACCAGAGAGAGAGACCAGAGAGACTAGAGAGAGACCAGAGAGAGACCAGAGAGAGACCAGAGAGAGACCAGAGAGAGACCAGAGAGACCAGAGAGAGACCAGAGAGAGACCAGAGAGAGACCAGAGAGAGACCAGAGAGAGAGACCAGAGAGAGACCAGAGAGAGACTAGAGAGAGACTAGAGAGAGACTAGAGAGAGACCAGAGAGAGACCAGAGAGAGACCAGAGAGACCAGAGAGACCAGAGAGAGACCAGAGAGAGACCAGAGAGAGACCAGAGAGAGAGACCAGAGAGAGACCAGAGAGAGACCAGAGAGAGACCAGAGAGAGACCAGAGAGACCAGAGAGACCAGAGAGACCAGAGAGAGACCAGAGAGAGACCAGAGAGAGACCAGAGAGAGACCAGAGAGAGACCAGAGAGAGAGACCAGAGAGAGACCAGAGAGAGGCCGGAGAGAGAGAGATCAATGAGAGAGACCAGGCAAAAATTTACTTCCGCGCTCCTTATAGGCCAGGGGTGTCCGAACATTTCAGTGAGAGACCACATTAGTTCCCCAGACTCTGTGATGTTGTCCAGGGGCCAACATCACAGACTGAAAAACTGTCTTGACTGACATCGGGCTGTTCTGAGCTTTAAAATTATCTATAACGGAGCTGAAGTTGGCTGAATGACAAATGCTTAATGCCTCACTAGCTACATTAGCACCATTAACAGAAGTTTGTGACACAATCAAAAACAACGTCAGTAAAGTTTGTACAAATAAAGTCAAAAACTGAATTCAAGACGTACTGGGCTTTGAGCTGAAGTTGGATGGATGACACAGTGAGCTTGTGTTTATGATCTCAAAAACTACAGTGGATTAGCAAGACAGAGGGCCACATACACTGACACTGAGGGCCGCAATTGACCCCCGGGCCTCTGTTTGGACATGCCTGTTATAGGCAAAGACATCGTTGGAGAAAGTGGTGGACTCGAACCCACAACCTTCAGGCTCAAAGGCCAATGCTCTACCCACTGAGCCACTGTCAGAATGAATGAGAATCTACGAAATTGAACAGATTCATGACGAAGCCTGAGTGAATACGTTGTGGTTTTTAGATCCTCATCCGTTGCCGTTCTTTCACAGATGTTTGGAAATGTTAATTCAGTTTTATTGCCGTAGTAAAAACAGAAAAGCCCTGCATCCTGTTCCCTTCTCCCCGTACGCCGCACGCCGTCCCTCTACATGATGCTGATTATGATAAATCCACACAGTTTCTCTTTTGTTTACTCTGTGATTTGTTTGGGAGAATGTGTTCCGCTCTCTACACGGCAACAACAGTCCGGACATTAAAAGGCAGCGGGAAACGTCTCAGCCCATTTTCACAGCGAGCCATTAGCCGCTGATAAAACTTCATTCAGAATAATTACTTTGCTTTCAACAATTTTCCGCCAACTGAACGCAACTCAATGAACCTTATGTCCACTCGGTGATGAGCAAACGTTTAAATGACCAGGTGGCGCTCTTGGCATGAGCTGTTCTCTGTGATACAAGAATACTGCATTAGCCTCAGTTCACTCCTGACACTTTTAACTTCCTCACTTTAGGATTTTATAACTTTGGTCGTTTTACACATCCAAAGCTTGGACTGTATTATGTTTGTGTGAATGTAGATGTCATGGTTGCCATCTGGAGCAATGCTGGGGATAAAGTGTGCACCCCTAGTGGTCTGATGAAGTCATTACAATTAGAATCCTGCCTGTTATGGGTGTTTTGTGACACTTTGAAGCAACTGAAGCTGAACTCATCATTAAGCCAGTTTGCATTAAGTATCCATCCATCCATTTTCTACCCTTTAATCCATTTCTGGGTCAGGGGGGTGGCGTCAGAGATGCCACCCAAGTCTCATAGCACCAGCCCCTCACTGACCCTCTGCAGGTGGTGAGTCCACAGGAGGACGGCTGCTCTCTGAGTGTGAGCATAGCCTTGATCTTTCAGTGGGAGCTTTGGGCAAAGTGGGGTTAAGTGTCTTGCCCAAGGACACAACGACAGTAGTCATCAGTGGGAGTCGATGGAGAAGGTGCAGAGGTGGGAATTGCATTAAGTAATTAATGTTTATTTTTTAACTTCATGATAGGACTCGTGTTGTCATGAAGAAGGGAGGATGAGAAAACCTCTCAGCAGTTATTGGCTGATAGTGGGATTACGTCTTCAGCCGAGAAATTGGGTAGGTGGGTGTTTCTGTGTTCACAGTGGCGGGTGTTTAGTGCTTACAGCCATGGATCTATGATAATAACACAGCACAGAGAGATGAAGAGTGAGGAGGACTCCAGCAGCAAAACAGCCTTTTCCAGATGGAAATATCACCACTATCTCAAACTCTCTGAGGTTAAAGGTCAAAATGTGCACGCAGACTGTGAACGAACAAAACATTTGTCTTGTTTTGCTTCGTTGTTGTGCACTCTATTCATCTGGCTTATGGCTCTGAGAAGGTGGGGGCCGGGGGGGTTACGGGGGCGAGAAACCAAAAAGTAACGCAATCGTTTCTATTACTATTAAAGTAACTAGTTACTTTGATCGAGCCCACCATGAGACCTACGTCACGACTCCCACTGATGACTGCTGTCGTTGTGTCCTTGGGCAAGACTCTTATCCCCACTTTGCCTGAAGCCCCCACTGAAAGATCTCAGCTCCTGTGGACTCAGCACCTGCAGGAGGATCAGTGAGGGGCTGGTGCTCTGACTGCCACCCCCCCCACCCAGAAATGGATCAATGGTAGGGGTGGGAACCTAAGGGTACCTCACGATACGATACGATACACGATACAAAGCTCACGATTACGATATTATCACGATAACGATATCACGATAAGGATTTTATCACGATATGAGGATTATCAATATATTGGTCAGAAATATACAATATGCCAATTTATGGCATAAATAAAAGAAAAAATACACTTTATTTCATGATAAATGGAATGGAGATGCGTAATGTAGCCATATATTAAGTATTGATACCAATTTAAAAAATAAAAATAAAAAATAAGGATTTTTTTTTTTTCTTTTTCAAAATCGATATCGATACTTGGCAAATGCATATCGATAATCGAATCGCGGGAGAAAGTATCGCGATATATTGTCACACCCCTAATCAATGGGAAGAAAATGGATGGATGGACAGTTACTTTTTTTAGTGGGGTAACTCAGTTACTTGTTGGGAGAAGGAACTAGTAACTATAACTAATTACTTTTTCATAGTAATGTGCCCAACACTGGTTATTATTGCTAATAACACATTTCACAATTGACATTTTCTATCCTTTCATTTGACTAAAAACAAACAGTGAAGTCAGAGCGGCTCTAAAGCTGATGGAAGCTGCTCCAACGCTCGAGGAATGAAATATACATGAGTGTCTTTTCTGCTCCATTAGATGCCAACTCTCTCTATCTCTCTCTCTCCTTCTCTCTCTCTCTGTCTCTGTCTCTCTCTCTCCCTCTCTCTCTCTCTCTCCCTCTGTCTCTGTCTCTCTCTCTGCCTCTCTCTCTCCCTCACTCTCTCTCTCTCTCTCTTCCTCTTCCCCTCTTCCTCTTGTGCACAAACATCCAAACACACACAAGAACATCTAATCCTTTCACAGAACAAACCCGAGTTAAAATCTCGCACTATTTCACTCCATCCTAAAAAGATTGTCATGTCCACTGTAAAAACTGATGAAAAATAAGTTAAAAATTGCTCAAAAATTTATCTTAATTTGAGCACATTCTCACTTAAAACAAGATTCTTCAATCAGACAAAGCAAAAAAATCTTGTTTAAAAAGGAACAAGAAGTATCAGCCTTGGAGAATCTGGTTTTAACACAGTCACAATGAACTCAAATCAAGATGAAATCAGCTCAGTTCAAGCTCATATTGGATCGTTCTCTGCCGTGTACCGGCGGGCTCATGATTCCTTGGCTTCAGAGGCCGAGGGAGAATCAAAGGTGGCATTTCTCATCACTGCCGGGCGTGTGACTTACCCAGGGCTGCCGAACGCTCCGACCCAGACGCAGCTCCGAGATGCGCTGGTTGGTTGGACCAGCAACAGACCACGACGGATTGTGGACCAGCAGCGGATTGTGGACCAGCAGCGGAGTGTGGACCAGCAGCGGAGTGTGGACCAGCAGCGGATTGTGGACCAGCAGCGGATTGTGGACCAGCAGCGGATTGTGGACCAGCAGCGGAGTGTGGACCAGCAGCGGAGTGTGGACCAGCAGCGGATTGTGGACCAGCAGCGGATTGTGGACCAGCCGGACGAGGGGCCGGAAGATTGGAGCCGAAACGGAAGATGAGTTTGGAAGGATTGAAAGAGAAAGAGACAAAAACAGCAGAAAAATTACATGTGACAATGTTTTTTCTTCAGCGGATCACATCAAATATTCTCTAGAAACGGTTTTCAAAGTCATATTTAGAAAAATGCACCATGTCCTGGGTTTTAGCTTCCAGCGTCAAACATTTGGAAGACCCTTTTGCTCAACGACAGGTCTCCTGCTGAGACTCTGAGGAGCACAGGGACTGGCCTCCTGCTGAGACTCTGAGAAGCACAGGGACTGGCCTCCTGCTGGGACTCTGAGGAGCACAGGGACTGGTCTCCTGCTGAGACTCTGAGAAGCACAGGGACTGGCCTCCTGCTGGGACTCTGAGGAGCACAGGGACTGGCCTCCTGCTGAGACTCTGAGGAGCACAGGGACTGGACTCCTGCTGGGACTCTGAGGAGCACAGGGACTGGCCTCCTGCTGAGACTCTGAGGAGCACAGGGACTGGACTCCTGCTGGGACTCTGAGGAGCACAGGGACTGGCCTCCTGCTGGTCCCAGAGTCAGGACTACACATGGGGAGGCAGCATTTCAGATTCATGCTAAAATCAGGAACAGTTTTCTTAAAAATGTGACTTCTCTGACAATGTTCAGATCCAGGTTAAAAACAGTTTTGTTTAACTGCTACAACTGAAGGATTTTATCTTGACCCTTTTTAATGTTCTGTGAATACTTCCATCTTGTTTTGTTCAACACTTTGAGTTTCCTTCTGTATGAACTATATATAAATATATAATATATATTGATTTTAATTATTTATCCTTGTTCCCATGTAGTCTCTAGTGAAGCAGTGTTGGCAGCTATAGGTCCAGCTCTGTTTGCACGCACACACACAGACACATGCACACACACACACACATGCACACACACACACACACACCCACACACACACACACACACAAACTTTTTTCTACAGAATATTCTACAAGACGATGGACAAAGGGAGAGACTCACAGTTGACCACAAGAGTTGCAAAAGTTGTAGCGTGGCCCAGGGCGCTCTTGGCTTCCACTCTGTACTTGCCAGAATCAGCCGGAGAGCACCTGGGGAGGACACAGTATTTATATCTACAAGAGAACAACATGTTTCCCACGGGGACATAGGAGTCTTTACGACACGCCTACCCTGGTCTTACCATGTGTAAACTCTGGTCCATGGTCATCTCCTACATGTACGTCTGGTCTTACCATGTGTAAACTCTGGTCCATGGTCATCTCCTACATGTACGTCTGGTCTTACCATGTGTAAACTCTGGTCCATGGTCATCTCCTACATGTACGTCTGGTCTTACCATGTGTAAACTCTGGTCCATGGTCATCTCCTACATGTACGTCTGGTCTTACCATGTGTAAACTCTGGTCCATGGTCATCTCCTACATGTACGTCTGGTCTTACCATGTAAAGTAAAGCTAGGCTAATGCTAAAGCTAGGCTACATGCTAAAGCTAGGCTACAGCAGTTTGTAGTGAGAAAATAAAGATGTGCACCGTCTTTGAGTGTCCAGAAAAGCTCTGTGTAAAACCAATGCATAATTATTATTATTATAGATCGACTAACCTTCTTATTTCCAGAGTGCAGATTCCATATGTTTTCTTGGGGGTGTAGTTCCAGGCGTGATGAGGACATCTCAGAGGAACGCCATCCTTAAACCTGAAATCATTACAAGATAAAAGTTCTCTGTTTATGTTGATCTGGGAATCTTTCAGTGTTTTCAAAGATTACATTTGTCTCAAAAAAGTTGTCCCAAATGTTATTGATTGCACATTTATTAGAGAGATCAACTGGCTTTATATTTCTCATTATACTTTTCAGAGAGAATGAAGCCCGGGCGCATTCTTCCTCATTACCTAAAGGAGCAGTGTGGTAACATGTGGCCAAAAGTGGTACTGCAGCCTCTCCCACTCTCCCTGACTCAGGTTGCCAGATATGCAGACGAATCCAGCTGGGACCATAACAGCTGAATAGACAAGAGTTTTGTCAACAACAAATCTATAACCAACACCTTTTTCACAAAGATAGAAATCCTGGTTTTATTCCTTGTTTTGTCGTTAATGATTTGAGAATCATAACGAGACCTTTTTTAGTTCTGCGCCACATGGTACTTTACCAGTGAGATTAGCTCCATGCAGTGAGTTCTGGCGCCTGGATCACAGACTTTCTGATTGGTGAAACGGAGGAGGGCGAGACATCGAAATGAAAACAATAACAAGATTTAGAGGCTGGAAAAGTAATTTAGAAACTCAAATATTTCTGAACGACCTTTATCAATTAAAGAAGGATCGGAAAAGAGCACTTTATTATTATTATGACAGATTAGGGCCCTTTAATGATGACAGATTAGGGCCCTTTAATGATGACAGATTAGGGCCCTTTAATGATGACAGATTAGGGCTCTTTAATGATGACAGATTAGGGCCCTTTAATGATGACAGATTAGGGCCCTTTAATGATGACAGATTAGGACCATTTAATGATGACAGATTAGGGCCCTTTAATGATGACAGATTAGGGCTCTTTAATGATGACAGATTAGGGCCCTTTAATGATGACAGATTAGGGCCCTTTAATGATGACAGATTAGGGCCCTTTAATTATGACATTTTAGGGCCCTTTAATGATGACAGACTAGGGCCCTTTAATGATGACAGATTAGGGACCTTTAATGATGACAGATTAGGGCCCTTTAATTATGACATTTTAGGGCCCTTTAATGATGACAGATTAGGGCCCTTTAATGATGACAGATTAGGGCCCTTTAATGATGACAGATTAGGGCCTTTTAATGATGACAGACTAGGGCCCTTTAATGATGACAGATTAGGGACCTTTAATGATGACAGATTAGGGCCCTTTAATTATGACATTTTAGGGCCCTTTAATGATGACAGATTAGGACCCTTTAATGATGACAGATTAGGGCCCTTTAATAATGACAGATTAGGGCCCTTTTATGATGACAGATTAGGGCCTTTTAATGATGACAGATTAAGGCCCTTTAATGATCACAGATTAGGGCCTTTTAATGATCACAGATTAGGGCCCTTTAATGATCACAGATTAGGGCCCTTTAATGATGACAGATTAGGGCCCTTTAATGATGACAGATTAGGGCCATTTAATGATGACAGATTAGGGGCCTTTACTACTTTAATGAATCAAATCGTGGGCCGAGTTGCATGGACGGTGTGTTATCTGGCAGCCGCTTGTGTGAGGGCCTTGTTAGGGGCCGGAGGAGGCAGCTGGGTGGGCTGGATGTGGTCCATATGGTCTGATGAAAGCCTAGTCTCCTGCTTGTGTGTTCCGCTGAGCTTCCTTCATGAATAGTGAGCGGTCTCTCGTCGTCTGCCTCTGTCTCCGTCGCCGGGATCAAGGTCAGAAGATCAGCCGCTCGGTGCATTACAACAGCTCGTTCTGAGAGTAATACGGCTGCATGTATTCTGCTCAGCTCCACCAGCCTCGCATTATTTACTGTCTTTATACAAAACGTTGACAACATCCAAACTGTTCAACACACGCTCCAGGTGAAAAGGCTGTATTTAAATGTTATAATAATCAAGCAGGATTGATCCCCGTAGGAGGAGTTCAGGTGTCCAGTAGCAGCAAAAATAATGCCTTGCGTATGAATAAACATGCACAAGAATAGTAGTTTATAGTAACATAGTATAGTAGCTCCTCTATTCCCTGAACTGATTTAAATAATATAGTTACCATGTGATCTTTGGAGCAGGACAGCCCACTACGGTGCAGGTGAACACGGCCTTCATGCCCTCCCAGACGGTGTGAGAGCGCAGCGGGATGGTGAAGTCTGGGGCCTTTCTGCTCAGAGCCTCCAGGAAACTTTTGTGAGCCGCCACTTTCTCCTCTCCCTGAAAACAGCACAAACAATTGTATTAGCACTGATACCATAGGCTTGTACTCGCACTCAAACTTTTAATACATTTTATTAAATGTATTAATAAAATGCCACAACAGCAGACACCTGTGCGGCACGTGTTGTCATGGTGACCTTTGCTAGCACCAGAGCTATTTCTTTGTAGCATTTGAATGAGTGGAATTTTACAGTGGCTCTTAATATGAAAGCATTTTCTTATTGTTGAAATGATTAATAAAAAGTTAAAAATCTGTCGTATCCTTGACTTTCACGCGACGTCACACCCTGTGAAATAAAAATCGGCTTACCGGAAGTCAGCCATGTCGGTGGTAAAGCACGCTGCTGTAGCTGGTCTCGCTCTCTAATGTCACATTAGAGTCTTTCAAGCGTCATTTAAGTTCTTTGAAGCAATGCCATACAATTGTGCCGTGTTTCATTGTGCTAACAAGAGCGTGACAAGGACAAATTTAGTTTGATCATTTCTTGGACTTGTTTGGTTTACGTTTTTGTTTATGTTTTGTTTTTGCAGATTTGAAATCCATCTCGCAAATTGGAATATAGGGCACTTGTTTGACATAAGTTGGCATGGCCCACTTGCTCTTCTCCTGGGTACAGGGAACTGAACCCTCCTTCTACTGCAAACAACCGTGCTCCTACAAACAAGCTTCAATAAGGCCCGTCATGCAGCTGCAGTGCGCCAACATAACATTTAAGTTCTCAAAGGTGTTTCTCACGCTCTCTGGGAATGGTTGATTTAAAAAGAATAAAACGACAGCAAACAGCATTTGTAGATACAATATATAAAAGACCCGACTCCTGTGACGTCATAAACATTAAACTACAAAGCTAAACTCAAACATTACTGATACATAATCTTTATTACTTATCTAAGCAAAAACAACTGACTTGTCAACACAAACTTGCTTTGTCTGAAGCGTGTTCACCCAGTTATTATAATAGATCCATGAGCCTGACACCAAAGAGTTGTATGCTTTGTTGTATAATTAAAATGTTGTATACTAATGATTTTCAGTAGGTGTTTGCATACCATGTCTTTGTGCAAATATTAAGCCTGGATCTAGGGGAATTCAGAGAAGGACCAAGCCCGGACCAGACCTCCCCCAGCCAGATAAGAGTTGTTTGGAGAAGGGCTTCTTCCTTATAAGGAAGAAGCTATAGGTTGGAATGTGTGAATCCCTTTTTCGGCAGCCCCCAAGGACGAGGAGAGCAAACAGGAAGACCAGCCTCAGACCAGACCAGACGAGGGCCAGAGAGGGACATGGATTAGCGTTTAAGAGCTCTCTTTTGTTGAATATTCTGTGTCTGATTGTAAAGATAATTAAATGCAGATGTTAAACTTGGAGAATCTTTTGTCTGATTTCTGTATCAAATTGTGGACACGTCAGTCAAAGGGAATTATTGGCTTCATTTGGTGACCCGAGACGTGATTTGATACAGAAAGAAGACGCAAGATGAGCTCAGATATAGACTGGGTCCGTCGGCCGGGAGAATTCTCTCTTCTCTTCTCTCTTCTCTTCGAAAGAGGTAAGCGGATCGTTACTTTTGAAAATCTGCACATTGTTTTAAATGGAAGAGAGAGAGAGAATTCGGCTCGACGGACTGCAGCGTGGCCAGACGACCGCCGTGACGGGCGTTCTATCGGACGCGATAGAACAATAGTCAGGTTTAGACGTTTTTGACCTTGGGGAAAGCATGGGTCCCTCCAAAAAAAAACAGAACATAGATGATGAAATCAGAGCCACAGAGTTTATAAGTGCAGAAGAGGCACACCGTATAGAGTGCAAAAGAAGCACAAACCGTTTTAAAGTGCAAAAGAGGCACAAGTGTTTAGAGAAATAGGATTAGAAAATAGGGACAGTTAGGGTCAGAAGTTATAGGATAATGAAAACTCCATATCCCCCGGGGGCGGGGAAAAGGGCACAATTAATTTAAACAGAAGAAAAGCCAAGTATTTAAAATGTGGATTCTGATAATAATGATCTGATTAATGAGAAAAGAGAGAGCCACTTGGCTGTAGTATACGAGTTTCATGTGAAGAAATGATCAGTTATGGAAGTTTTTCTCTTATTCTGATGTAATGTTTAATAGTTACAGAGAATCAAAAAAAGAGATTCTGCTGGGACTATTAGTCATGTAAGCAAATAGTAATGTTTTCCATTACTGACGTATTTAAGGATAAAATGTAAAGTGTCGTTTGACGTGAGAAAAACTTTTACCACTGATTTAAAACCTTGTCACGAGAAAAACGAGGAAAGTATCATTCAGACTCCATGTTTCCTTTGTTCGGTCGAGGCCCCTCCCCTCCCGTCTCTTCTCTCTCTTCGTCCTCTCTCTCTCTCTCTCACTCTCAATTTATACTCTCTCTCTTTGAGTTCGATATACTAAAGAGGCATCTCTCTCTCTCTCTCATTTTGGTGTTGATATAAAAGTTAGAATGATCTTAGAGAGCATTATACTTTTGGAAAAATAGGGCTTAGGATAGTAGTTGAATGCAGATTTGGTTTTCAGAATTTAATGTTTAAAATGTTAATAGTAATTATTTCATAGGTTTATTTTGAATTGTAATTAATCATTGGTTTGGTATGGTAATTAACACACTTGTTTGTGTTTCTTGTTTGTCTGTTTTTTCCGAGAAAACTTCTGTCTGTTTCATTTGGCCAAAAATCGTCCCTGCCACAAACCACAACCGAGCATCATCATCATCATCAGCGTCTCCCCCTCTCCCTGCGGGTCGCAGGGGGCAGCATCGGCTGCAGCAGCTAACAGGAACTCTCGAAGAAGACTCCTCCTGCCTGTGAGGAGGCAAAGAAAAGACCGCAGACTTTTTCACAAACTGAGTGTTGTCCCATCCACGAAACAGAAGGTGGCGGTAATGCGAAGAATAGGCCGCCAACCGCCGGAAAACCAAACAAGAAGAAGAAGGACACGACACATTTGGGTGCGTCAGATATGAAAGAAGAAGAAAGACATTATGAGGAAAAGTTATCGGAAGAAGAAAGAAAGTGATTGTTGAAAGAAGAAGAAAGACATTGTGAGAAAGAGTTATCGGAAGAAGAAAGAAAGTGATTGTTGAAAGAAGAAGAAAAAAGACATGGAGACAAAGACATTGGACACTATGAGACAAAAGACATTGAAAGACGCCATGAGTAAAAGAAAGACATTAACGGACATTTGAGACGTGGCTGGCCTAAATGAGACAGACAGAAGGTAAATATACAGACAGGCAACAAACGCACAGAGACATATTTAAGTCATATTTACACATTTAGGTCATTCGTTCATAACACCACATTTAGCTGCATGAAAGAATACAGGACAATCGTTAAAATTAATTTAGACTCGTGCTTTAGCATGAGACACAAGGAGATTAGAACAGCAGTATATTTAAAGTAGAGGAGCTCTATTATTGAAACTAGTATTATTTAAAGTTATAGACGCGGAGAAGTTTAGAATTATTGATTTTGACTGCATGATCTTGGTAATACGGATATTTTAAGGGCAATTTTTCAACCTCTGAACCGTGGCTCGTTTCTCATTTAAGAACAATCACATGCACAGTTGAAACTGGTGCTAGAAAGAGAACTGCAGCTTTTAATGGACGCTAGCATTTAGTACAAAATGGTTTGTTCAGACAATTAAAGTTTGAAAACATGATTTAAAGCATTTCTGAATTTTGGCTAAAGGTGATATTGGATCATTTCTGGCTAACACATAGACGCAACATGTTCATTGGTTGAAAACAAAGATGTAGGGACATTTTTTGAAATCTTTTATGACATGTTTCTCTTCCGCTAAATAGCTAAATTAGAAACAATTAGGACAATTATGTCTTTGATATAACTGTTGGCAGTTTTATCTGAGACATGATTGGCGCAAGTACACACACATAAAACAATGGTCTTTTCTCCACATGAACGTGAAACAAAGGTGAAGTATTAAAGTTTGAAACTAATTTACATTTTAAAGGAATCCGAACTGGCTTTCAAAAAAAAAAAGGGAAAAAACATTTATTGCACGTGCATGAGTTTTTTTTTAGTAACAAGAGACTCATTAAAAATATAGGGGACACAGTTTTGTGACAAGCCCGAGTAAAGACCGACGTGGTTTAAACCACTAAAGTTTGAAATGGATCCTTTTAGGGAAAAATCTCTCAAATGCTTTGCATGTTCTGCAGGCTCTGAAAGTTGCAACTATAAAATAGCTCATGAGACAATTGTAATTGGGACATGGAAAAATATAACAAAGTTAAAATTGACAGGCCTCTTGTGTTGTCTATATGTTTGTTTATGTTATAGTTTGTGTAGTTATATTTTTTTGTATGTTATATGTTTGTGCGTCATGTCCAATACACTACGTTGACCTTACAAACTGGACCAATACTAACGTCGCCTGTGTGAGTGGGATGTGAGTGTGATGTGAAATGAGGAGTGGACGAGGAGTGCTGAACGGAGAATGGAATAACACAAAGTTTTCTGTAATGTTTTAATGTGAGTTCATGGAATAATTATTTTTTGTCAACAGCATACGGTGTAAGTACTAGAGATTCAAAGATGACAAGCTTTATTGAACAGGTGTAAAAGTGAGAGTACTCTGGGATGAGTACTCTGAGAAAAGTACCTCTGAGAAAGTACTCTGAGATGAATACCTTGCTGAAGGTACTGGGAGCCCCTCCCTCTGCTGTTTGTCCGGACAGGGATTCGGTCCAACCGCAGTGAGCGGTCATTGGGCGGAGGACAACTTTGGTTTGTAATTCACATTTAGGGGGAGTATAAAAAATTAGAAACATACATATTGTTAAGTCTGTATTTGGCTACAGCCTCTGCCCTGATGCCACAACACCGTCTGTCAATGCAGTTATGTTTTGCCCAATTAGATTGATTGACAGGCTGCACCATGCGAAGAGAGGGAAGTGGGGCGTTTCTTGTGTTTCTAATGTTTCTTTTTCAGATGAAAGATAAACTGCACCTGCTTCAGGGATAACACAGTAAGTATGGATCATAAGGGAAATGAGCCTCTACTTTGGCACCAAAGCCCACAATATGAATTGAGGACGATCAGGGAGGAACAACTGAGGATTGGAACAGTAATCTACAACACACAGATGCATGTTTTATACTTTGGACCACGACCAACAGAGGGGAGTATTGTATTGTCATAGGTGGTCATGGTCCTTAACCTTCTAAATCATTAGAAAGAAGTGTAAAACATATATTTTTACAAGAACAAATAAATAATAGAAAGGGCAGCCTAAAAAAAGCAAAATGGGAAAATTATTAAGTAATTTTCGGAGTTGCCAAAATGAAATAAAAAATTCTATATTTGTCCCATAGGGGGTCATTCTAAATTTAGTGTTGTGCAAATTTAAAAGGAGAAATAATAGCGCTTATAACATCAAACAGATCTACTCTTAAGATAATAGATCATACAATAATAAATAGAATGAAATAGTCTGGAGCTATAATGTCATTGGATTCGAGGAGCTATAGGTTGAAAGGTCGCTAGGAAGAGGTGTCAGAATAAACAATAGTAATAATAGTTAGACTAGTGAATAATCAAAATAGTTCTATTGTGGAAATAAGTATCAATAAGGTCAAATTGTTCTAATAACTAAAGTAAAAAGGAATCAAATGGAGTCAGATTTTAGATGTTTTCTGTTTTCCACATCTGTAGGAACTGGTGCAGAGGTGTTTATAGAGAGTAGTATTAAAATGCAGACATAGAACGACAGGCTTTAACACAATTTTAAATCTAAAAATAGCTCAAATATAACATTGCTCTTGACGCAGCCTCTGAGCTGCTCCATTGGAGAACAGGTTAAATGTTATTGTTTATTACAAACAGCTGATGTATTTACACATATTAAGTTTGGGACAACTCTTTAAACAGTTATAAGCAGCGGACAGAAGCCATGAATGTGCTTTTGTTTATTAAATAATTAATTTCATAGCCTTATAATCGTAGAGAACGTTTTAAAATAGTTAAAAATCCCTTTCAGGCAACTTGATTTAGATGTATGTCTTTAATATTGGAGAACGACTGTGTTGTTTTTGGAATTGTCTAGAAATACAATACATAGAATAGTGATTTGCAGAACAAGAACCAGCCAATGAAAAATCGTCTATTGCCAATGCAATTGTTACAATCAGAACTCAAAAATTGGGAATATGCTTTGGCTCAAACTACAACCGAGATTTAGAGTCACAATAGAGTGGTAAAAATAGATAGATGCTTTCAAAAATAGAGATTATTTTTAGACAGGGCTAATAATCAAACGGTAAAAAGACCATTTCCTTCATATTATGTCCAAAAGTATTTACTTCAAAGGGTAGATAAAGTTCATTACAGTTTATGCACAGGTTTATTAGATACTGTCAATTCGGCTTGTTTCAAATCATAGGGTAATGTTAACAATGCCAAAAGTTGAGATAGATTACGAACCAACAGAGATTCAAAAACAGTTGAAAGCATTTTAATGTAGAGTGTGGCCTTCAGTAGGAGAGTGTGGCCTTCAGTAGGAGAGTGTGGCTTCAGTAGGAGAGTGTGGCCTTCAGTAGGAGAGTGTGGCCTTCAGTAGGAGAGTGTGGCCTTCAGTAGGAGAGTGTGGCCTTCAGTAGGAGAGTGTGGCCTTCAGTAGGAGAGTGTGGCCTTCAGTAGGAGAGTGTGGCCTTCAGTAGGAGAGTGTGGCCTTCAGTAGGAGAGTTGGCCTTCAGTAGGAGAGTGTGGCCTTCAGTAGGAGAGTGTGGCCTTCAGTAGGAGAGTGTGGCCTTCAGTAGGAGAGTGTGGCCTTCAGTCAGAGTGTGGCCTTCAGTAGGAGAGTGTGGCCTTCAGTAGGAGAGTGTGGCCTTCAGTAGGAGAGTGTGGCCTTCAGTAGGAGAGTGTGGCCTTCAGTAGGAGAGTGTGGCCTTCAGTAGGAGAGTGTGGCCTTCAGTAGGAGAGTGTGGCCTTCAGTAGGAGAGTGTGGCCTTCAGTAGGAGTAGGAGAGTGTGGCCTTCAGTAGGAGAGTGTGGCCTTCAGTAGGAGAGTGTGGCCTTCAGTAGGAGAGTGTGGCCTTCAGTAGGAGAGTGTGGCCTTCAGTAGGAGAGTGTGGCCTTCAGTAGGAGAGTGTGGCCTTCAGTAGGAGAGTGTGGCCTTCAGTAGGAGAGTGTGGCCTTCAGTAGGAGAGTGTGGCCTTCAGTAGGAGAGTGTGGCCTTCAGTAGGAGAGTGTGGCCTTCAGTAGGAGAGTGTGGCCTTCAGTAGGAGAGTGTGGCCTTCAGTAGGAGAGTGTGGCCTTCAGTAGGAGAGTGTGGCCTTCAGTAGGAGAGTGTGGCCTTCAGTAGGAGAGTGTGGCCTTCAGTAGGAGAGTGTGGCCTTCAGTAGGAGAGTGTGGCCTTCAGTAGGAGAGTGTGGCCTTCAGTAGGAGAGTGTGGCCTTCAGTAGGAGAGTGTGGCCTTCAGTAGGAGAGTGTGGCCTTCAGTAGGAGAGTGTGGCCTTCAGTAGGAGAGTGTGGCCTTCAGTAGGAGAGTGTGGCCTTCAGTAGGAGAGTGTGGCCTTCAGTAGGAGAGTGTGGCCTTCAGTAGGAGAGTGTGGCCTTCAGTAGGAGAGTGTGGCCTTCAGTAGGAGAGTGGCTTCAGGGAGAGTGTGGCCTTCAGTAGGAGAGTGTGGCCTTCAGTAGGAGAGTGTGGCCTTCAGTAGGAGAGTGTGGCCTTCAGTAGGAGAGTGTGGCCTTCAGTAGGAGAGTGTGGCCTTCAGTAGGAGAGTGTGGCCTTCAGTAGGAGAGTGTGGCCTTCAGTAGGAGAGTGTGGCCTTCAGTAGGAGAGTGTGGCCTTCAGTAGGAGAGTGTGGCCTTCAGTAGGAGAGTGTGGCCTTCAG